ATCGTTTTACATAAACATGCAAATATGATGGTTTAATTTGTTTATTCAGTAAATTTTTAAATAGTTTGTGTAAAAACGAGGTGACTCCAACAGTGATAGGTTTCATGTTCTGATATTGTTTCATGACAACTGCCAAAAGTGGACTGAACGGATATGAAAAGGGTGCATTTTTTGAGTTATAATAAATATTGCACAGTTTTTCTGCTAAAACTATGCTAATATCTTTGGCAATCCGCAATTCATCAATCTCCATTATATCAGTCTGTTGTACATTCGAATCAGTATCACTGATAAGCTCATCAATATAAGGAAATGGATCTTTGAAAAATATTGAAATAGATTCATCGAGAAATTGCAAGATCGAATCTGATTCAAACAATTCTTGAGAAGTTTTATCCATGGAAATAATACGCGGTAAACATTCCAACCAAATTATAGCTTCGTTTGGGTCATGTTGAAAAGGAAGTGATTTAGAAAGCAAGTGTATAAGCACTTGTCGAATACTGGAATATATTTGTGGGTATGGTGTATGAGAATACAACTTCAACAGAATAGCCAGACGGTTATTTTCTGCAAAAGACAAAATATGTGAATGAAATAAAAACAAATTTTTAACTTGCCAAAATACAGTTTATTAGTCTATTTTACTATTCACCTGATTTATTGGACAAATTAAAATCAGAAGCTAACAATAACAATTCCAATATATGCAATTGCATTGTTGGTTGAATTTCTTCCAAATTTGCAGGAATAAATTTGCCTATATCAAATTTAGATTCCATAACTGCTTCAGGTAAGAATTGATGATAATATTTTATCAATCTTAGAACCATTTCATGTATCATACTATTTCTTGTATATTCTTCAGTTACTTCATCAGGCATTAGGTTGGCCGATAACTTTTGTTCACACGTAAGAGTTTGATGATAAATTTTAAGAAGAACCTGAATGTCAGGAATTCTACGTTTTATCTCCTCAAATATTGATTCAATTGTTTGAAGCCATTTAGCAGACGACTTTTTTTCATTAGATGGTTTATTTGATAAAACATTCAAGCAACGAGCTGCTTCATCAAAAGCCCGCTTAACCTTGTCCAGCTTTTGAAACATAACACATAATGTTATTATCGCCTTATATTTAACTAATGGGCTCTGGTGATTTAAGCATTTGTTTAAAATCGACCGATCAAAAATTCTTGGAAGTATATTATCCATTACCAAAGGAACTTCAGGTGGTGTTTCAGAGTAAACCTTTGTATCTGAAATATAAAGCGATGGAACAGGTAGTGCTATTATCTTGTGAAAAAGTGTCATATTTGCAATCCATTTGTAAGAAAGGTAAGGTTCAAAAGAAATATTTGTATATTGCCAAAATCTATAATATTGAAAATGAGAATTAATCTAATAGTTTAACTTTTCAAAAAAGGATAATTATCGTTAACCATACTTACACATGAACTAACTCGGGGCATGCTTCTAAAATTTTCAACAATAATTCTTGTTGCTTTAAATCCTGAGTCGGCTTCAGAGACTTAATAAAGGAAGATAATATAATATTATTCAACTTAACTTTGCCGCTATCTTTCGATTTGTCAGTGCTGTTGATGAAAAAACTTTGTAGACTACTAGAATACCATCCTGCATCACGGAAGCAGATTCCTATTCCTGGTACACAACATATTGATAATAGAAACTTGTGAACAACACCCGCAACGGTCTTGTTAGATTCTGGTGGTTCAAAATCGGTTCTAGAATAAAGTCGCAAAAGCTAATATTTTTTTGATCATTATTATTTGATAAATTACACTAAAAAATAATTTATATATTATTGTTTTATTTACATGATTTAACACCCCAGTATTGAAAAAAGATGCTTTTGTTTTTCGGCTGATTTGATTGTCAACTATGACAAAATCATGGAATTTTCTCAACACCTCGTCCACAAACTAATAATATATATGTAATAATGAAAATTTTTATAATCATTACAAAATTTTCCCTCATCAAATTTCTTTTTACCTCATACGAATCGCAAGATAACCCTTTGAATATTGCATTTGCAAAGTTTTTTGTTTCCAAAACGCAAGATTTCACTTTAGAATCTCCATGCGTTAAGAATGTCAAAATAAAACGAA